GGAAAGACTTACATAGGGCAAGGCGTGATCAAGCATGAATCCGCTTAAATGGGTGAAGGCAGACTGGCAGAACCTGTGGGATCTGTGGGCATTTGCCACTGGTTAAAACCAAGGAAGGTGCCTAACTATCTACTTTTATTGGCAAACGGGATCCATGAGAGTATGGCGCTGAGACAACAGCTCCCCTCCCGGAGAGGCATCGTTGCAAGTGAGTCTCGCATTCGATGACTCAACCCTTGCACACTCATAAGAAACATCGCTCTCCCGGGATCGCGAGAAAATAGCCAACTGGCCCACTGGCCCACCCAAAATAGCCCAAAACTAGAGTGGCTGATGTGTTGTTCTCAATCGTCCCCTGACAATTAAGAGGCCCAAGACAACCTCGTTTTGTCCCACTCTCTTTCTGGGACCACTTGCTGGTCAGTTGGGAACGACTGAGACCGTGCGAATGAACCGGTTTTGATTCCCCAAAGCGCCGCAAGTTGGATGGTTTATATGACTGGGTCAAAACCAATGGTGCCATTTTGGGATAGGTACACCACCCATTTCAGAACCTATTTTAGTGGGGATTGGGATGTTCACTAGGGGTACGATTTGGATTTTGACCCATGGCCATATGGGTCATTGGCCAACTCGGGAGCTCGGGGCCGGGCCCCGGGGGCCGGGAGCCGCATCTGGTGCCTTGCCTCGTCTGAGGCGCCTGGCAAAGCAGCGAGGGTTTTCTCGGAGGGTTCCTGGAGGTTGTACCAAGGGTTGCCGGTTGCCTTAGGTTTCTTTGGGGGGTTCCCTGAAGTTTAGGGGGTTTCTTTTGGGGGGTCTGTTGGGGTTCTTTCGGGGTTGGGGTTGCCCAAGGCTTCTCTGAACCTAAGTTCTTTTGGGTTCCTTTGAATTTCCTGTTCCTTGGTAATATAGGAGGTCCCGGGATGCCAAACAACTCAGGAGGTCTCTTGCAAAGGTGCAGCTTGCGGGCTGCCACAATACACATATTTGGCTTGGCTTAGTGCGGCGAAGCCAGAAGACACTTGGAAGGGCCGCTCCTGTCGAATATGTTGGCGGCGTGGCTGGCGGCGTGGCATGCCGACACTCTCATGTCCGGATGTGACATGTTCAAACCTGCACAGCTTCCATCTTAACTTGTCGTTGTCATAAAAGCTCCGTGAGATGTTCGAATGTTTGGATGTGATATGTTATGACCATTGCTCCTGTCCTTCTCAACAATAAAAGGTAATCTCGAAGACTTTCTTCCCAACACTTATTGGCAGATTTGCCGTTGCGCAGGAGACACGGACCAACATGCTGATGTATCCAGGTGCTCCGTGTCAAAATAAGGGAACCCCAAACAGGGTGGTTTTCCTTCTGGCTTCCCTCGAAAACCCAGCCCAACACCTCAAAAAACACCAGACCTGCACCACGTCACCGTCTCACTGTTTGGCCTGGCGGGGGCTCTCTGCCGCCGCTGCCGCCAAGTTCTCCTTGCCGCGCCTCGGCAAGTCACCGCTTCGGCCCCCGAAGCTTTGCGGTGCGAGGGTCCCAAGACGATGGTCTAACCTTGTGGTTTGGCCATCTCTTGGTTTAAGGCTGGAGGCAACCTTGCTTTCCCATCACCAGACATGCCAAACATACCAAACATACCAGACATAGGCCCCGAGAGGCTCTTGCTGGTCAAAAAGAACATGCAAACCAAAGGGGGCAAGGGCAAAACCTGGATCAATCTGGTTCTGGGCGGGCGCCTTGGCTCATGGCGCTAGGAAACCAAACATGCCTCAACCTACGATCCTCTTCGCAACCAGCTTGACCCATCTCCAATAGCACTGTGTCAGCTCCCGGAGCGCAGTGGTCAGCGGCTCTCATATTCAAAGAACGGGGCTCGTGGAATTGTTCTCTTGATGAGCATCAGCTCTGCATTCCTCATTTGACGACCGCCATGGAGGAATGTCTCCAACAAAGAAACCTTTTTTTAGCGAAGGCACGGTAAAGATGCCGTTCCGCTTCTCGGCTGCTGAAATTGGAGGCTCCGTCGTGCTTATTTTCCGTTGGAGACATTCCCATTTCGAACGAAACGATTCTTCCAAACTCCCTTTCAGGTTGCTCTTTTGCATCGGCTTTCCGGCATGCGCTACTCGCTCGGTTCCCTTCATTCTGTCTGCCTCGGCGACCAAGAAACGGCCAACCGGGATCTCTCAGGCCGCCGCTTCGGGCCCTTCGTCAGGGCCTCGTAGCTGGTTTGAGAATCGATCTCCGTGGGTTTTGCCCGGTTGCCGAAAAGGGATCATATTCTTGGAGCCAAGACATGGACGTAGGGACTAGGTGCCAAATTTCGGTAGTGCGTGGTTGGTTTGTGTTCACTTTCTTTTGGGGGTGTTTTCTGTTGCTCTCAATGAGAGGACGTTGTGTTGATTGGTGCGATTTTGTGGTGGTTTTGGGATGGAATTGGTTTAGGGGTTCGTTTAAGCCAGGATTAGAGCGCATTTAGGGCCAGTTTAGGGTCGGTGTGGGGCGAAGGGATTGGACTGGGGACTGCTTCACGGCAAGTTGTTTCGGGTGGGTTTGGGTTGGGCTTCGGATGGCTTTTCGTGGGTGGCTTTCGGGTTGGGTTGGCTTGAGGCCACGGAATGACACACGCAGCCGCAAAAGACACAAAAACCTTCGAAAGCCACCAGCCGCAAAGCTGCGAAGGTCGCAAGAACAGCGAGTTCACAGTGGTTCGCAAGAGAATGTGTCGCCGAAACGAGCTTTGCGATCGGCTGGGTTCAATTGATTTCCTTGCAAAAAACCGCCCAGCGCTAATCGCCAATGACTACAAAGACTCAAAAACATCATGACCCGACGACTTCTCATTTTTCAACATTCCGATACCATCCGAAAGGGGCGCCAGAACGCCCGTCACTTTGAACTCCTCACTACAGAAGCTCAAATGGGTATGGGTCAAAATAAGTCACCACCAGGGACCGCAGGTTTCAGTCCTTGGTTTCATCTACCTGCGTTCCATTTTTGGCCCAAACCCTGTACCCCCAGTACACATCCCAATCCCCACTAAAACAGGTTCTAAAATGGCTGGTGCACCTGCCCCAAAATGGGATCCCATTGCAGCCAAATGATGACCTCCGATTGCTTCAACCTGTCGCTTCCTCCGGAAATCAACTGGGTGCCTCCTGGCCGGAGTGCACCAACTTCTCACAGAGCGCCAGCAGCTGCGGCCTGCCGGGGTCTCAAGCCGACCAATTGACCAAAGTTGGGACCTGGAAACCCAGCGCTTTGCTTGCTGGCCAAGAGCCGATGATGGAATACCCAAAGGCAAAAGGGGAACGCTTAGATAGCCAAGTATGGTAGTGAAACAGCGGAGTCAAGCAAAAGCGAATATCAATTTCAGTGCTCTCCTTCATGGAAAATCGATGTTAATGGTTGGGGCCGTGCAAGGTGCTGCTGGCAATTGCAGGGGAATCGAAGCATGACTTCTGAGAAACATTGTGCTGATCATTGGCTGGAAGTGGAACTAAAACATCCAGCCCATAAAAGCATTCATGAAAATTAGAACGGGCTCAGGCACCGCAAGTCTTGTTTGTCACAGCCACGTCAATGTGTCTTTCGCTGATGTGTGGCATAGCTCTTCTTGCTTCGATTGCTTGGTAAATCATTGTGATCACTCTTCGGCTCAGCGAACAAGTCCATGCGTTGTGAGCCATAAATCAACCAGCAGCTTTATAGGCTGTGTCGAGTCACCTAGTCCGTGACGAAGCCCGTGATTGGGGTATCTGGGGGGCGCTTTTCCTCCGGCCTCTCGAAGTTATCGCTCTGGAAGCTCACCTTGCCTGGCTGGTACCTCCCAAAACAAAGCCCGGCCCCGGTCAAATGCCGGTCACATAGGCGATATTTCTGGCATGTGTTCCGTCCACTTTGCCCAGTTGAAGGTGTGCAAAGGAAGGGCTTGTGGAACGTGAGTACACCCATGGCATGTCACATGTCAAACTGTACTTGCAGCACCTTGGGTTTCACACTTGCAGTTAGCTTCGCGCTGATGGTATTGTGATGGACGGTGGATGCCCTGAATCCTGCAAGGGAACCGACCACATGCGACCAAACATGGTGACGAACCGCAATTTAAATTGGCAGGGCGTCCTTGTGAGCAACATGAATCACAAAGGATCAGCCAAGGCGTGTCAAGCAGCCTGCTCCTCTCAAGCGCCAAGGATCAAATCAGATCGACCGTACAGTTGCTTTACTCATGAACAACATTCAGGATTGGTCAGCACCCCAACCACTGGATACGATTCGCCGTTGGCAGCGTTGGCCCTCCACAAGTTAGTGCCACAGATTTGACTTGTGTGTCCTTCACAGGTACAATTGTCAAAACTCCGTGTGCGGGTCATGATTGTGGTCCTTCAAAAAGCAACTGAACAAGAAAGGAAACTTACCATCAACTCTGGCACAAATGACAAGCTCAAGTAGTAGTGTGCCCATGTGTGGGGCTACTGAATGCAGAGTCTAGCCCTGCGCCCAACTAAAAACCTTGTGACGCGACCGCTGTACCTTCATGATGGTTATGTGCATCCCCAAACATAAGGTCAAGGAAGTTGGTTCCAGTTCATTCTGTGATCGCGATGGATAGCTTTGACCAAGTGACTAAGTTGGATTACAAAACTGTTTTACATAATCCAACACACCATTCGCCGGTGCAAATACTGATTTGCCGGGCGGAGTACCACTGACTTGCTTCTGAATGTCTTCCAAACAGAACAAACTACGACGTAGCTGGAGCATTTTCTGCGCCCAATCCGCCGCAGCGCTTCCAAACGGTCAACATGGAGTTCCGCTCATGGCTGTGGCTGTCGAGCATCGCAGAAACGCCCTGCTTGCTGACAAACTGCACATGCATTATGTAGCTTTGCTTGCGGTGCAACTCAGGCAATTGCCAAGTCGCCTGCAGAAAAGGGATCGGGCAGGACGCCCTCAAATTAAGCGGGAAAAAATTGGCTGCGCGCGCAGCTCGCGACCTTCCAGCGTCATCTCACAGCCTGAGGAGGGCAAGTGGGATGCTCAATCAGCTTCCCGCACGATGCGAGCTTGTCTCAGCTTCATAGGAAACTCGCAAAGGGAAACTGTTTTGATTTGAAAGTGTCAACTCGTTATGAATCAGCCTTGGGGAATGCAAAGCAATCCAACATGCCTGGATAAGGGGCTAGCTGATGTGTTGCGTTTCGCTGAACCGATGCCCTTGCCAGCTCCAGCTCATCTGTCCATGGCCTCTGCAAATGGGTTGCTTTGCGGTATTCATTTCCAAGAGACGACCATTCCTATAGGAACTCACCAAACATACGGTCGTGTTCTCGGGTGATCTGTGGCCACGGGCCATCGCGAAGACGCCGGCAAAAATCACCTGGGGATGATGGGGCCGTTGTCAACATGGCCGCGTGGCTGTCCTATGGGGCCAACCACCCATGAGGTTGGTGCAATTTGGTTTAGCAAGGCTTCTCACGCGCCCCCCCATAGATCCTGCGTTTGTAACAGCACATATGGCCCAAGCGCTGCAAAGGGATGTATCGTTGAAGTTCTCTTTTGATGGTGCTATGTGTGAATGCATTCCAGCTTCTAACAAGCTGGCCTTCATTTGCTACTAAAACATCCACCCACATGAAGCAAAGTCCCGAACAACACAAGCATGCAAAACATTTAGGAAACCCAAAAAACCAGTCCAATGTGCAGCTTGAAAGGAAATTGGCCGACAAGCTGCGCCGCAAAGGAAGCCCAGGTAGACGGCAATGTTCATCCTCGCAGCCTAAGTGAATCAGAGGTTCCAAGCACCATGGTGCTTTCTCCTGTGCTTCCTTCTGGCCACACCCAGGACTCGTAAATTTTGCAAACCGTCCCCTTCCTTCTGGCAACTTTCCTTCCCCTGGGTGTTTTCTGGTCCCTTTGGCACATCTCTGTGAACCCAGGGGTCAATCGGTCAATCCCCACGTCTCAATGACACCAGCCGACGGGTCACGGAGCTTTGGCCGCCGGCCACCGCCCGCTTCTCCTGCGCATCCGCGGCCTGCGCATCCAGTGGCGCATCCCTTGGGTTTGTCACGGCCGTGAAACATAGGGAACCTCTGCGCCAAAGATCTGATCCGGAAAGTAGGCTCATACCCTGCTATAGCTGCATCAATTCTGCACCGATGACATTGTGCAGTATTGTCAATCATGATGGATTGATCTACAACAGGACTTGCCTTCCCAAAGTATCATGATGCACATCTGGCAATTGTGGTCTTTCTGTAGTACGTTTATGTCATTATGTAGGTGGATGCCCACATATGATCATATTCTGGCTCCTGGTGTAGATGTGTATATACTACAAAGTATTGTAGTGTACATATATGTTATACATATATAATGTGTTTTGCACACAGTTGTGCTAATTCGTATCGACTCATACATCTGACCCATCTATAAGCATAGGCCAACTGTGCTGTTTTAAAGACTAAACATCGACATGTATATGTAACATGCTGGGAGCTTTAAGGTCAAGGTCTTGCAGTATGTTCTTCAATCGCCTTTGCCGCACTATCATCACGTGGGGTGCACATCTGTGAACCCTGTCAGTGCTTCGTCAGTGGCTCACGTGAACGGCTCCTTGTGAATGTCCCAACCATACTGAATCGCTGTAATTACACATCTCTGCTGCAAATACGGTCCGTTTTGCCAATGGCCATGCCATTGTCAAACAACATCTGCGAGGAATGGCTGTGGCCTTGCTGTTTTGCATCCGAGACACAGCCCTTCGAGAAGGGCCTCGACCACGCCATGCCGAACTAACCACATTTCTCCGATGGGTTCAAATGGCTTGTTAAAACCAGCTGAATCACCTCCCAAGCGGTTGCTTCCCGTGTACCAAAGAGCCCCTCACTTGGCGCCTGTATCGCTACCACCTGGAGCCAGCTGCCGCCAAAGGCTGCAGTCAGTACCTGGCACATCCGGGATCCAGGTCGAATGTGAGCTTGAACAAAGTTGGCCAACATCCAAATTTCAACGGTTGTCCCCGACATTTCCCACGGAGCTTGGTCAAACTTGTTGCAAGGGGGGTGGCGTCACCTTGGATCTGCCCCACTCAGGAAATTTTACCCTGGGGTGCGGCACACGTTAAAACGTGGCAGCCTCGCAAATGGCAGCCAAATGGCCAGCAGCTCCGCTTCGTTAAACCACGGCTCCTGAGCTTCAGATGTCAACTCGGAAAGGGACACCTTGGACACAGCCACGGCAAGCTCGGGGTTTGAAGGCAGCCCCACTTCAGCAGGGGGTCTGGAGACCTCCGAGGTTCTGGGGAAGTTCCAGGTTAGGTCGCATGGGCTTACTTCTGCAGCTGGTTCCTCTGAAAGACAAGAAGAACGCTAGCGCTGGAAAGTATGAGACCCGGCTGGACTACCGGGTTAGCTGATGCAGTGACTCTGCCTTGATCCCAGCAAAGCGTTCGACACAACAACGCCTCAGTTTGGGTTAAGGACGTTGACCATCCCAGACCCCAGCTGGCAGCAATTGTGTTTCGGGTTTTTCTGAGAATTTCCACGGGTCACTTGGCAAGTCCTCAATCCAGATTCGGTCTTAGCCAATGGGCTTCAGACCATGGCCGCGGCGTGGTTCTTGGATTCCAGGTTCTTCTGTTCATTCGAAGGGAGCCCACGAGTGTTTACTGTGAGACCCCCTCAAATCCTCAAAACCCCCCATGAGATCAACAAAACTGCCTGGAACAGGCCACAATGACATAGCTGTCAGCTAGCATGGCTCTCCCCAAAAAACAGAGCGGTCCTTGCTCAAAGCGTGCATGATCAGCACGATCCACGCAGGAAGACGTAGACAGGCAACCTCAATCGCAAACGCTATTAAAGGTTCGGTTGCCCACTCCAAAACACGCAACAACAAAGCCAAACCTTCTGGGACTGACCACAGAGCAAATTGATTTGGACACCAAAAACAGAAAGGAGAGCTTCGGGCAAGAATTGCTGCCCGCGTGGAGTGTCTGGTAATGGAGGTGTCGGTGTGCGGAATTGGCACAAAAAAACATGCAGTGTTGAACGAACATCCCGTTACTGTCGCTGAAGGCTGCTTGCCCTAAAATCATGTCGGCGCTGGCTGCCCGGGGGCAGGATAGGCGGATGCAAGAAATCCATTCTCCGCAAATCATCGGTTCGCACCAAAGCACCTTTCGGGGGTGACATGGGATGACCATTCTGAGACCAGGCCTCCAAATAGCGGGATGGAACGAAAAGCTCACGGAGCATGAAACCGAGTGAGACAGCATGAGATGAGTGGAAGTTGGGATGGACCCCGAGCGCTTCCGCTGGGAGCCACCTCAATTCAGAATCTCACCTTGACGTCTGCCTGGATTTCCATCCACCTGGACCCTCAAAATTCCTATCAAACGGCAATAGCCCACTTTTATGGGTTTGTTGTTAATTTCCAGGCACTCACATCCGGTCACTGTCAGTAACAAACCAAGGTGGACGTCTCTCTGGAGGTCGCGTTCCTGGGCACCGCGCCACCCAATTCAGGGCGAGGTGCCGCTTCAACCGCCTGGCGCCGCCAACTCGTAGGTCCTAGGTGTCATGCTCGTGTCCTAGCGAGAAACGACAAGCACAACCTCCTGAGTTTGATGCATACATGCAAGTTGAAGGGCGCCAAGCAAACTGCCCGGTTGTTCATAGCACTGGGCAAGGACGTTTCATGAGATAAACATGAGCAACATGAGGAAGGGCCAATATGTAGCGTGATAGCGAGTTCAGGAGCTTTGAACATGCCGCGGGGTCTGTCGGTGTCACACCATCCTTACGTGGAGGCCTCAACAATCCATCTTCAACATGTGTGTCTTCACTCACAAGAGAATCCCAAAATCATCCAGCAAACTTTCAAACATGCACACACACACACAAGCGGTCAACTGTGCATGCATTGTGCATCTGATGCGATAATGCACTGTGAAGGGGGTAGCTGGTGCCTATCTCAGCATCGCGAACCCGCAAACCCGGCAGCGACTGTGCGTGTGGCACAATTACACGGGCATCAAGCAAACGCCTAGACTTCCTGTCTCCAATCTTGCTGTGCCAAGCTCAAAATCTCACGCCTGGCTTCCTTGCGGAAGCCAACCACCGAAACCAAATGGGTGTGGGTCAAAATTAAACCACCAGGGGACCACAGGTTTTAGTCCATGTTTACAGTTACCAGGGCAACCCATTTAGGGTACCTATTTTTGACCCACAGCCAAATCCATGGCAAGGCCGGCGGCCATTTTTGCCGCCATTTTCGGCACCTGGGGTTGGGCAGGCCGAAGAAGAGCACCCGACCCACCTGGCCACGTTGGGAGTCCCAGAGTGCTGAACCAATTTGGGTCTCATGAGGAACCATGAAAGGCCTGGTAAAACCAAAAGCTAGGAACTAAAGTCGAGAAAATGGACAGTTGAGCCGAGGAAATAGTCTTAAAGGTCTATGTTTGTTGCACAGATCTATGTTGTATTCTATTGTACGATCCGTTCGTTCAATCGGGAACATCGCGTTTTGTCAACCAAGGGCAAGCACTCATCAGCTGTGACGAGGTGGGCCTTTGTTGCTACATCTCTGGCGAACCCTTGCTGAAATCAGGAGGCGCCCGGCGCCTAGGAAGTGTGACTTTAGATACAAGTGATGCTCATTGCCATAAGAATTTTAGTCTCAGGATTACGTCATTCGACCGTGGGCTACACCATTCTAATTTTCACCTTGGCCCGCCTTAGGCCTCGGTGTTATGCTAGTGGTGGCGACCTGTTTAGGTTACGGGCAGTAGTGATGATGAGGTTCGTCTACAGACTACATCATTAGCCTACACAACACTCCCTAATCTTGCTTTTTTGCATGTATGTATGCAATCCGGAATCCTTATGGCTGTGCGTGCTTTTTGATGCTGGGGCTGCCGATCATCTTTGCTTTGCGGGTATTATACGATTTGATTGTTACGTCAGACACCGTCCACATTGGTTCCGCATCACCAGCATGTTCTACATGCTTCATGCTTCAGTCCTTGAAAAACAACGATTTTGTTTCCTGTGATGGTGTTTGGCACTACACGGGGAGGTGGCACTGGCCTCTTAAATTTGTAGTTGTCAACCCATTGAGTTCCACCCCCTCCCCGGCACTGCACAGAAACGGTCGAAACTGGAAGCACGCCCCTCCGTAGCCATTAGGATCCCCGAATCCAGGTCTGACAGGTGCCAACCTACAGGCTGAAGGGGTTCGTTCAAACCAACTTTCTGCAGGCCCTGAAAAACAACTCATCCTATATCGGATCCTGAAACGAGCCGGTCATTGCTCGGAATCTCGAGCAAAAGCCCAAGCGTTTCCGGCGGAAACGAAGAAAGGGCTTTAAAGGGAGCCAACATCTCAGGTGCCCAGCCGCGCATCGCCATTGAAACTGGGAGCCACGTAGCACTGGAGCCAGCGAAGCGGTCTTGAAACACCTGGGTTGCCCACAAAGTCACCGAAGAGTTTGGCCAGAACGATCTCCTGGCAACTTACAGCGTGGTGTTTTCCCCTTCCTTTTGCTGGGGCATGCAATGGCACAACGGCTGCTGCCTTGGGAGTGCTTGCCCACCAGCCAAGTGTTTTGCATCAGGGGCAAAACTGTCCCATTGTGAATGATGGGTGCTTGGCGCTTGATTATTTCATTCAATTGGTACAACGTGTTATTCTGTTTCTCTCAGCATGCAATGGTTTTTGGGTGATTGATCGAAAACACAACACCCCCTTTCAGTAGCATTAGTGTGAAACCTGTGGTAGTGGCCACAATTGATGGACATGTACTTCATTCACCGCAGTGATCAAGTGAGTGGATGCAAAGGTACGGCTGAAACTTCCAGCATGCACACTGTTAACCGCAGGAAGCCTTTGCCGTTCGCGAGGCGACTCAGCTGCTAAGGGGTTGGCTCATGGTTCATGTCCCTCCCAGGAATGAAGAAGGTCCTTGTGAAAGCTCGTGCCACTGAAACGGGAACCTTCATTGAAGTTGTATTCTGCCTCTCTCTCTCTCTCTCTCTGCGTGTGTGTTTTTGTCGTGTGTCTGTGTGTGTGTGTGTGTCTGTGTGTGTGTGTGTGTCTGTGTCTCTGTATCTGTGTGTGTGTGTGTGTGTCTGTCTGCGTGTGTCTCTGTCTTGGTTTTGTTTTGTGTGTGCTGGTGTCTGTGCAAGTCCGCTTTCGCCTATGTCTTGGCAATGTGCGTTTTGGGTGAATACACTTTGCCGTCAAGCGTCGGATTGGACGATCACCCTGGTTTGTGATTGGTTTTGTTGATGATTGTGACGGTTTTGGACTGCTTCAGCTATGTCGGGCTGGGTATTTCCAGGCATCTAAAGGGTTTGTTGAGGGCTGGTGGATTCAACAAGCCGAGACGCCACGGACAAAACAGCTCAGAGGCCAACAGCCAAAAGGAGGCCACAAGCCAAACGCGGAAAGCAGAAGAAGCACAAAATCATGTGTCCCTAATCTTTTCCCCATGGATATTAAGTCCTGGTTAAAGGTTGATGACCATCCATAAAGCCTCCATCACTGGGTATTGCACATCATCCCAGAAAAGAGCATGTCCTGCCCAAGATTGAACTTGCCATGCGCAAGGACGTTGGCAAGCGGGGTCAGCGAGATGTTCAACCTCGAGTGCAAGCCCAACTCAGCCATGATGAATCGGGAATTGAATTGGACAAGTTGGGCAGAACAATACAGTATGATCCGAAACAGGAAATGGCAACACATGGTGGTTGTAGGCCATAAGCTTTGTTTCAGCAACTGCTGCACACGAAGGGCATATCATGCTCCTCGCAGCAACAAGGAGAAGAACATGAAGACACAATCCAGGATTAGTTGCATCCACCTGCATGCGAGTTTCTCACACACTGCGTAGATGCAAAGACACATCCATACACAAACTTGCCGACAAACAACGGGACTAGCCGCACGCTCCTTCAACCATTGGATGCACCACAATACTTCGCCGGGCAAGAAAGAAGGGAACCCTATGCAATCCTCACCGCTTACAGGGGAACCTTCACTGTAGGGCCATGGTGTTCTCTCGCAAGGTTGCCATGGGTCGTCGCAAGATCCCAACTGAGGCAGAATCAGCTTGCTCCTGCGTGTTTTGGATGAAAGTAGAGGGCATCTGTTGAATCAGCAAAATCGAGATCTGCGGTCACAACCCAAGCTCGATTCCCAGCAATCCAAATCACCAAGCAAGGTAAGCAACTGCCCCATCTAGAACACCAACGTGTTTGCCCAAATTACAGAGCCCCCCTTTTCACGCACACGACTTGGCCACATCCAGGATAGGTACGCTTTTCCAGAGGCATGTCCGGGAGAGCGGCGCGACAACAAAGATCTGGCACAGGAAGGCGAGCCGAATCACGAGCTCCTGCGGAAAGCGGCCCTCTCGGGGAAACGGGTCCCAATTCTAGGGGTTGATTCCTCACTACTTTCAATCATTGTTTGTTCTCAAAAACTGACACTATTTTGCCTCTAAGAAGAATCCCGGTCCCTGAAAAGAATGGGGAAGTTATCCAAAGAAAAATGCGAACGCTTGATGTTAGCTTCCCTTTCAAAAAGATTAGCAAATGCTATCTCGGTATTCCCAATTAAAGACTCAGCTTTGTGTGGTTCATCAAACTAGTCGTCCTCCTGAGGATGGCAGGTCATGTTCATGGTGCCCCAAACAACGAATCATCTACAGTAGTGGTTGCAACAAGCGTCCATCTCAAAAAAGGTTGACGTATGCATATGTTCATCAAAGCAAACGAGGGCAGCTTGACCCTGGCATACGCGGGCAAACTCAACTTGAAGAGGCGGCCCTTTAAAGAACCCAATGATCAAAACGGAACTCTAATCGGGAGAAGCTCCCCCCTAATGACAAACTCTGGCTTTGTTGAAAAAAGAATCTGGCCGATCAGGGCCGGGCTCCGAGACAAAGTATGTTTTCTGTTTGCTTCTGGAAAACGGGTTGTATACGGGAAGGCTCGAAGAAAACCCTGCTGAAAAGGCGGGCGGGACCTGTGTTCTGAGCATGCTGACATTCACGTAACAGAGATACAGATCCCCACGCGCCAATATACCCACCTCCCATTGAGTCCAGAATGGCTTCTACCCCTTCGCAACACAACATGGTTGTCTTCCAAATGAACATAGGGAAAAGAAGGCGCAACCCGAGTCATCGATGGTGAACTGCCGTGTCGGGGCGCCCACATTGTGGCTCAACACTACAATTCAAACTGTTTTAAGTTGTGGATGTCAAACCTAGGGATGCCTCCAGCTACTTGGCTTGTTTTACTGAGGCCCAATCGGGTCCCTTCTGATACCTCAGGGAGCCCTCCGGTCAGCGGACGGGGTATCAAGCACCCCGGCCGGTTGTTGCAAAGCTGTCTGCAAGCCAACTCATTGCAACCAGGAGCAGGGAAACACACACACGCACACTCATCACATGGAAGCATTTCCGCCAGCAACAGCTCATGGCCCATTTGTACTGCACCGTTGAGCAACCTACAGTGGTCGACTCATGACTTGCTGAAAAACTGGAAACAACTCGACTCGAAGTGAAAGCATCGCCGGCTTCGCCCATCGCCAAAGGGAAACCCAGCCGTTGGCACCAACCCCCACAGGACCGCGGGATCCAGCCCGGGGTTGCATCAACAGCATCCGCGAACCATCCCTAAAACATGCTTCGGATCAACACAGGCTCAACCGATCAGACACCCAAAGGCATCCAGCCCACTTCCGACGGTCCGATCCAAAGCAAAAATGACAGGCAGCAAGACTGCTGAGCTACTGGCACTATCAGCTGCCGCACCTCTAACCGGTGTCTGCTCGCGTCACGCTGCTGCAATTGATTTTTGCTTTTCGTGTTTAACCCCTCCCCCAGCTGCCGCGCCACAGCCCCCTCCGGCCCCCAAGCAAAAACAACATCCCGCATTCAACTTATTATATGTTTATGTGCAATCAGGTGCTGAACCCTGCCATGCTCAAATGTCAGCTGCTAGCCACAGACTCTGCCATGGTCCGGTGACACACGTGATGCATGAACTGGGTCTGGAGTCTCCGTCCTTCTCCGACCACCTCCATGGGTAACACACGCGGAAGTCTGCACCCTCCTCAAGCGAGTGTGGCAACAAACCGCATGTCAAGCCCTCTAAACACGCGAGCAAAACAAACAAAGGTATCAAACAAATCCAACATATGGATCCAGATGCAATGAAACGAACAAACGAACAAACCAAAAAAACAACAAACACACAATCAATCAATCAATCAATCAATCAATCAATCAATCAATCAATCAACCAACCAACCAATCAACCAAATCAAATCAAATCAAACCAAATCAAACCAAATCAAATCAGATCAATCGAATCCATATCAAATTAAATCAAATCAAAACAAATCCATCAATCAATCAATCAATCAATCAATCAATCAATCAAGCAATCAAGCAATCAATCAACCAATCAATCAAATCGAATCGAATCGAATCGAATCGAATCAAATCAGTCAATCAATCAATCAATCAATCAATCAACCAATCAATCAATCAACCAAGCAATCAAATCAAATCAACTCAAATTAAATCAATCAAATCCAAATCAATCCAAATCAAATCAAATCAAAATCAAGTCAAGTCAAGTCAAGTCAAGTCAAGTCAAGTAATCAATCAATCAATCAATCAATCAATCAATCAATCAATCAATCAATCAATCAATCAATCAATCAATCCATCAATCAAATCAATCAATCAATCAACCAATGAATCAATCAATGAATCAACCAACCAACCAATCAACCAAATAATCAAATCAAGTCAAATCAAATCCAAATCAAATCAAACCAATCAATCAATCAATCAATCAACCAATCAATCAACCAAGCAAGCAAGCAAGCAAGAAAGCAATCAGTCAGTCAGTCAGTCAGTCAGTCAATCAGTCAGTCAATCAATCAATCAATCAATCAACCAACCAATCAACCAAATCAAACCAAATCAAATCAGATCAATCGAATCCACGTCAAATCAAATCAAATCAAATAAACAATCCATCAATCAATCAATCAATCAATCAATCAATCAATCAATCAATCAATGAATCAATCAAACAGACAAACAGACAAACAGACAAACAGACAAACAGACAAACAGACAAACAGACAAACAGACAGACAAACAAACAGACAAACAGACACACAAACAGACGAACAGACAAACAGACAAACAGACAGACAGACATGGAATGGGAAAGGGTGTGATTGGACAGGCAGGACAGGATAAACAAGCAACACAGTAAACAAGCACACACACAACACAACAAATTAACATCTCACAGCATACCCAGAACCACAAGCAAAACAAAGGAAGAACTCTCTAGATAGCTAGATGAACAAAAGAAGGAAAGTTCGAGCTCCTCCCTCTCTACCTTGTTGTTTCAATCTTCTCGGCCAACCAGACATGGGGGCAGGAGAGTAAAGAAGATTTAGTTTAACATGTGTCTTTTCTCCTGGTCCCGAGGGTTGGGCTTGGGGACCGCTTCATCCAGGATATTTCGAAGTGCTGAGTGGATCAAGGATTGCATGTCTCTAGAAGAGGACGCCTGCTGGCGGGTCGGATTGTTCTCCTGTAAAAAGTATGGGCAAAGGACTGCCTTGCATGTCACTGCTGGGGCGTTCGTAACAGAAGCTTGGGCTTGCGGATGTGTTGCATGGGCTGGGCAAGAAACCCTGATTGATAGCTATCCCCACCTACAAGAGAAACCCTCAAGTTTCTCTGGTTACAGTAAGTACCTTCGCCCTTCAGGACAAGATAAACCAGGACAACCCAGGACAACGCTTTCACGCCAAATCGTCCAACGCTCGGCTTCGCACGTCGGAGGTGGTCAACGGCAGCTCTGTCCTGGGCCTGCCATGCGATACGTGCACAATGAGAAAGATCCTGTGTATTTCAACCGTTTCACCAGTGCAAAAAGGTAGAATCATGACTTCACCTCGAGCTACACCCACTTTAAGTGGTTGACTTTGCCAAAAGGATCCAGAGGTGTGACCGAGACCATCCAAAGCGAAACCATGCCAGCAGAGCGTCCCCGCCACCATGCTGGCCATTGATGCGCTCGGAGTCATCCTTGCAGGGTGTCCAATGCTTGCCAAGATACCTACTTCGTAACCATGAACCAGCATACCTGGAATTTTGCACCACACGGTCTAGCCATATTCCGATGCCACAACACCAAATAAGACTTTGAGATCGGCTAACTGAACCGCAGCCGATGGGATGGCAATCATCCAATGGCGTTTTTTGGGGATGAATGTTGTGAACGACTGTTGGCCAAAGTATCCTGTTCAGTGAAAGTGGCCGCATCGATGTGAATCCTCAAACATCCCCAAATAAGCCAAGTGATCCAACCGAAGATCGCCTGATCAAGCGGAAGCCAAACGAAGCTACCTCGAGGCTTTCCATGGTGCCACTTTGGATCCACTAGCATTATGACTATCCGGTGATAGCTGCCTGGCGGTTGGCGGCTGCAAGGTTCAACCATTGTGCTCTTGAACGAACACGACGGAAGGAAGCTCGCTGAATATCTGCCCCACGTGATGCCCAAGAGAGAACTGAGTGGACCTCTGTTGAAACTAAAGCGCAAAGTATGGCAAAATCTGACTCTTCTGGGGATGGCCGGGTGATAGATGCCTTACGTGCTTGCTTTGGACCCTCGTAACCGAAGGGCTGATAACTGCTCCTAGCTATTACCTGAAAAATGCTATGCTTGAGGAACCAACTGATGGTCCAAGCCTTGACGCTGCAGGATGGTAGCTGCCCCAGTAACTATGAACCGCACAAGGACGCCTAACATGATTCGAGTTCTCTGTTGACAATCAACATCGCAAACGTGCTGCTTTGCCTTCCTTAACGTGCTTCAGTTGCTGCTTTCATGTCCAAAGTCAATGCCCTGCTCGCCCAACTGAGAACAGGACTGGTGATGTCGCCGGTACGCTGGATCCAATCCTCCGCGGTAGTGGTTCACAAAGAAGATCAGGGCCGGCAGAACCTGGGCTGAGCTGAATGATAAGCCTCTGAGAGGGCGGGGGAAGCTTGAGGTGAACCTCTTGCCCAAGAAGCTTGCAGCTGTGATGTCAAGCAAAAATGCAGACCTGGTTTTCAAAGCCTCCCAAGAATCAGGCCAATCCTTCAGAGAACACCGAAAAAGCACGGACCAAAAGGTTGGTTGAGCAGATGCTCCCACGAACCCTCTCAGCCGTGGAGAAGACAAGGGCCTTGCGCTGTGTTTGTCAACGGAGCCCACTACGTTTGGATAGCTCGCTGATGTGTTCAGCCGCGTTGTTGGCTTTATGCCTCTCAACACGAGCAAACCGATGTGTGAATCTGTCTTGTTCTGCACATATCACTAACACTCCGGCGATTCAGGAGTAGCTCATGATCGTGGTGGCAATGTTATTGGGTTTGTGATGAACAACAACCTGCAAACAAGTGTAGCATGCAATACAAGCAACAAAACGGAACAATGATAGCAAAACAAGGACTCTATGGGAAGGAGGACGCTGCGCCTGAAATACTCCTCTTGACATTCAAAATGTAGCTACGGTGGGTCAACAGGATCACAGCACGCAAGTGGCCTCGCACGTGCTTTTTGGACAGCATTCACCAGCGTTCTTGAACTGCATCCGCCACCGGCAGACTGTTGGCATTCCTTCTACGCTGAGCACACTTAGAACTGCACCCATCATGTCAAAACGTTTGTACTTCCATGACGCTGAAGCCGTTTTGAGCATCCACTGTTTACAGGGCAAAATGAGCACTGCCAAAAATAGGCAAGACCAGTCCGAGCGTTTCGGCCGCATGAGCGCTGTCTGAATGCATCCATCATGAGCAAGATGATTCGTTCCCATGACACTGATGGCATTTTGAACTGCATGCATTCACCATGGCAAAATGTTGCGCTCCAGTCATGCAGCGCGTGCTTTGAACTGTTCCCTCCCACGCGCAAAAGGCTAGGGTTCTCGTGGAGTACACTCATGCAGTGGCTGACACCACTGCACCCGCGACAGCTTGCACACCAGTTGACTCTGAGAAGTGTGATGGGCCAACTAGCTGTTTTTGAAGCAACATACTAATTCGATGTGCAACCTCCAAATCCGCGCCTATGCTCAGTATGTCCGTGTGATCGCTGACAAAGCATAGGCGATTGTTGCGTTCAGTCCTGCAAACTGAGCCTAACACCAGGTTTTTCGTGTGCAGGCTGTTTGCGTTGTTTCTTCATTGTCCTGACATGCAGCACGCCATCAGCCGATTCAGCATCTACGCTAACCTCCTTGCATCATTTCTCAGTGAGAGAGAACGGGGCCCCGACTGCCACGGCAATGCCGCTGCTGTAGTACCATATGACCTGGGACTGAGCTTTGGCCCCAGGTCGAGAAACGTCGAGCAATCAACTACTTTCAGAAATACAACAAGGTCGGATACCTGGAGGCTCGATGAATCTGTCGATATGTCTGTGTTTGTCTGTCGGGCTGATTGCTTGCTTGATTGATCTTTTGCTTCCTTGGTTGCATGTTTGCATGTGTGCTTGCTTGCTTGCTTGCTTGCTTGCTTGCTTGCTTGCTTGCTTGCTTGCTTGCTTGCTTGCTTGCTTGCTTGCTTGCTTGATTTTTTCTGTATTGGTGTGCGTTTGGGTGTGTGTGTGTGTGCGTGCGCGTGCTTGTGTGTTTGCGTGCCTGTGCACTTGTGCGCTTGTGTGATTGCTTGCGTTCGTGCATGCGTGCTTGCTGACTGACTGGCTGGCAGGCAGGCAGGCTTGCTGGCTTGCTACTTGTTTGTTTGCTTGCTTGTTTGTTTGCTTGTTGGTTTCCTTGTGGGTGTGTCTGCTTGTTTGTTTGATTGACTGAACGTTGGATGGATGGATGCCTGGATGGACTGACTGCCTGAGTGACCGATCGATCGATCCATCGACTCATTGATGCGTTCATTGTTTGCTTGATTGATTGAAAGATTGGTTCAGTGATGGATTGAGTGGTTCAATGGTTGACTGACTGAATGACTGACTGATTGACTGTGTATGTCCTTGGCTGCTTGATTGATTGGCCCATCGTTCGTTCACTCATTCATTCATTCATTCATTCATTCATTCATTCATTCATTTGTTCATGCATTCATTCCTTCCTTCATTCCTTCATTCCTTCATTATTTCATTCCTTCATTCCTTCATTCCTTCATTCCTTCATTCCTTCATTCCTTCATTCCTTTATTTCTTCATTCCTTCATTATTTCATTCCTTCATTCATTCACTTTAATTTATTCAGTCATGCATTCACTCACCCATGTCACGCATTCATTCAGTAACTTGTTCAGCACCTCATTTCATTCATTAATTCATTCATTCATTCATTCATTCATTCGTTCGTTCGTTCATTCCTTCATTCATGTCATGTCATGTCATGTCATGTCATGTCATGTCATGTCATGTCATTAATTCATTCATTCATTCGATTAATTGATTCATTGTTTCATTGGTTCGATGAGTCCTTCATTCTTTCATTCCTTCATTGATTCATTGATTCATTGACTCATTGATTCATTGATTCATTGATTCATTGATTCATTGACTCATTGATTCATTGATTCATTGATTCATTGATTCATTGATTCATTGATTCATTGATTCATTGATTCATTCATTCATTCATTCATTCATTCATTCATTCATTCATTCATTCAGTCAGTCAGTCAGTCAGTCAGTCAGTCAGCTATTCATTCATTCACATTCAGTCAAGCGTGCGTGCATGTATGCTTGCGTTTATTGGTTCATTTCACGCATTGATGCATTGATGCATTGACGCATTCATTCATTCATTCATTCATTCATTCATTCATTCATTCATTCATTCATTCATTCATTCATTAATTCATTCCGCTTTTTGGGAGGGTACCCCATACCCCATTAAAAAACAACCCTGCTTGCCCAAGATCCCTGCGCTGCCACTGGGGCAGTCCGGATGGAACCCAGCCACGCGGGCCGCCACCTCAGCCCGGAGGAGCCGGACCGAAGGTGCGACTTTTCGATTGAAAGCGGGTTTTTGGAGGGTACCCAACAAGGGTTGCAATCCTGGAGGGCTTGCCAATAGTTGCAAAGGGCTGCTTGAAAAGGGGGTTTAGAAAAAAAAAGGGAGACCACAACTTGTTGGTTCCCAACTTTTCCGCATCTCTTCCTCTTCCCAGCCCCATGGAGTTGGACAAACGAACAAGCGGGGATGGATACGGAGGGAGCGGGGATGCGGGGGGATTCCCTTGGCGCCATTCCCATATCAAACTTAATCAAGGTGCATTTAGGGGGAATCCTCCCGTATCCCTGGTTACCCCTGTATCCCTGCTAGTTGGTTTCCCTGACAAGCAGCCTGCTACATTTGTAAAGGGCACATGGAGAAAGCCGCACAGAATTGAAACCTACAAGTAAACAAGCAGCTTGCTTACAATTGAAATGGCGTGGCGAGAAGGGGCAAACGAAGACTTGGAGACTAACACGTTCACCAGCAAAACAATGGTCAGTGTCCGTTCGGTGTCGCCAAACCAGCCCTGAATCTCTTTCCTCCTAGTTGGCTCAGCTTGACAGAAAAAATGGACCAACAAAGTCTGGAACATTCATGAAACATACCAAGCATTTCGCTGTCGGCAAATCAATGGCATGATTGCACTTCCTGCAAGCCGTGTCAAGAGCGAGGTCACAAGTGACCAGCCTAATTCAAGGGATGGTGGATGCCTGGTGGATACAGCGATGCCCATCCTTTTGCAAGACCTGTGAATTTTCAACATGGACCCAAGCAGTACTTCCCCAACAGGATTGCAAATATTGGCAAGCCCTTTGCAAGCAGGCCCACGGGCGAGCTGAAAATGGCTCAAGCATCTACGACTCAGATCAACACTCGTGCCGACATTCTTACGCTGTTCAAGCTAAGGTCGCTTGCTAGCGGGGGTCAAGGCTTCTAGTGCCCTCGGGGCACGAAGCCCGCTAATTCCCTCAGCCCTTGCATCCTACGATGCCAAAAGGTTTTGTCGCTCGATTCACAGCCCGACATCCTGGTGATTCACACTTGGATTGGAGCTAGAAGAGTTCTCACCATTCTCATGGAGAAACACTCATATTTGATGCTTGATGGTGGCTCCACAGCCACAATGGAACTGCCCATGCTGCCCTGCAAGGGCTGATGCTAGCTTGGCAGTGGCGGAGGTCTGTGGCCGGATCTCAAATCTCAACGCACTTCGGCATTCCAACTGAATTCGCTCGCGTAGCTTCTGAATGCCCTCCACTTGCCTAAGCCGCAGGAAAACATAAAACAAACATATTAAGCAAATGGCAGATGCGACATTTCTAGCCTTGGAAAGGCCCGTGGCGTCCTGTGACCTGAGATCCACTCTGCTACCCCAGGATCCTCGCTAACGCTGGAGATGGCGCTGAAAATTGTCACCGGACGGTTCACTGGCCCATTGGCCATGGCCTTTCAGTGTGGTCGGCTCTAGGGTGACCGCCAAATTGTCTCGAAATTGAGTGCTTCCAGCTCCAATAGTGCCAGATGTTTGTTGGCATTCAGCTATGATTCCGCTCGGGGCTGCTAGTCAGCCGATTACGAGATCCTAGGCTCGCTGACTGTTGGCGAGCACTTCTGCGCAGCCAGGTCCTAAAGAGCCTCACAAAAAGGCTGCCAAGAAACACAGATGCTGGTCACTTGGCAAAGTAAGGATGCTGTCACAGCAGCGTTTGTAGTGCAGTTCTTGTCAAGATCTCTTGTGGTGCGGAGAAAACAAAAAAGGTCTTCTGCAGCTTCCGATGAACGCCAGAAACCGTGCTTTGTGATACCCAGGTGATTCCATGATGCAGTGTGCCAAAAAACAACAGTGCAAATGTCAATCCACGTGCATACATATTCAGCAGCTTTGTTTGGGATAGGAAGGGCTGATTGTGCGAATAGTGACCATCCAGTGGCATTCCAATCGTAGATGTATGCAAGCAACAGTCTATGTATGTGTATACCTATACATATGCGTGTCTATACGTGTCTACCTATGTAATGTATACATGTACTGTAGATATATATATATATATATTTGCATAGCCGTCCACGAAAATGTAAACATAGGTATGGAAACAAACGGCATCATGGAGTCTTACCACTGACTAAACATTCCCTTCATCCGTCTTGCCAACGACCTGCGCAAGGAAAACATCATCTCACTTGGGCACTCGACAAGAGACAGTCCACAACACCTTTGCGGCCTCCCAGGTAGGAAGCGATGCGAAGGGATCGATCCCTTCCTGCCACAAACACAGCACCCGTAAAAAGGTGGATAGGTGACAGCAAAATAAATTTCCTAAAAAACCTGAGGGTAAGTGGGATCTCAACAACGTGATCTACAGCTGGAGCAGGCGTGTCGTGCGGAACATGGGGGTGGTGCGATGGTTTAAACATTCCAGCAAGCAAAAGCTCGCCGGATGCTAGAGCTACATCGCAAACCAGCCCTCCCTCCACCAAACATGGAATAACCCGCCCCTTCCGTTCTGAGCATGAAGGGTTTCTCAAGATCAACTTGGAAAAACGGAGCCAAGGTATACCCAACTTTGCATCGCACGTGCTTCGTTGCTTCTGGATGAATCCAGGGCTGCAACTTTGAAAGGCTTTCAGAAAGGGGGCGGAAGGGTTGTTGTGAGGAACCTCAATTGTTGAAATAATCCTGATGTAAGCTTGCTGCTATCTTCAAGATGTTGCAAATGAATCGAATGCGAAACTTCACAGAAGTATAAGATATTACCTCACCTGACCCATGAGCACAGGAAGGGTCTGGCGCTGTATCTGCCAGTCGCATGCCTCCCTCTGCTACATGCAAGGCAATCAGTTCTTGTTGTGTCTCGAGCTTTAAGCATATCACGTTTGGGACAGCTCTCTGACTCTGAGCGGCTTTAGCAAGCTGCTGGAAAACCATGGCTTGATTTATCAGAGTCCGGGAACCAGCCAAACACATTCCTCTTCTGCACGGCTTCCGCAACTGTTGTTGACCGTTGCTTTTTTCTGGACATGAGCTGGCTCATCAACGGAACAAAAGAAGTTGAGAAATGCTGTTTCTTCCATGGATTGCGGGAGGCAAACGCAAAGCTGATTCTAGTCTAGGGACGATGGCTGGCGGGAGTCGGACAAACGGATCTCACGTTGGGCCACGCAGCCTTTGAATGCAGTGGAAGTGTCACTTGATCTCATCCCTTCGGCTTTCTTCTGCCGCACGGAAGTGCTTTCATGCGCACATTGGAAAACTCAATCCACAGGAATTTGGAGACTTGAAAGTACCAAAGCAAAGAGATGGTTTTGGCGCGACCCGCACATGAATGTCACACGAACAAAACCACAAAGCCCAAGCACCAGACTTGACGTGAATCAAATGCATATCAAAGGGCAACATAAACTGCATCATTTCAAGCACCAGCGACGGGATCCGGCCTATCTTCATCGCCACCGTGATCGGCTCCCGAAACACTTGGGACTGGACACCGATGGAGTTGTCCTCGTTGCTGGGTGTGTCAGAACCTACCTAGAGCTAGTAGGGATGGGTCCCTTGTGTTTTCTGGGTATCTTCCTTTGATGGAGGTTTGTCAGGCCCCATTTGGAGGGCATGTCGAAGCGTGGCAAAGCTGTGCTGCCTACAAAAAGAAACGAACTACTTCAAACAGGAGGTTGTTACGGTTTCCTGAGGCACTGCGCAATTTGTTGTACAAAGCTATACACGTCAAAAGGAGAGAACACATTGAATCTTCTAAGCGTTTGCCTCACCCTTCCCTGTCCTGAGAGAAGAATCCGTTGGCTCTTGCGTCGAATCCACCGAGGAAGTGCCTCGGTGCTAACCAAGGCGCCGCCTAGACAAAGGCCATTGCGCAAAATGAGAGCTTTGTAGCTGAGCAGGACAAGTCTGCACAACAACATCAACTTTCTGCATGCACGAGGGGGGTTGGAGCAACATCCTCTTGTTGAGCACCGTTTGGTACGAAGAGAATGGTACAACTGGGAGCATCATTCACATTCATGCAGGATCCTGCAAGCACTGGCTTCGTCAACCTTGCTGGAATTCTGCAAAGGCCCATTCACGCTGTGCATGTTTGGATCGGGCAGGTGGTTTAAACAACCAACAGCAAGTTGGCCCCAGTCGCAACAGCAAGGTTCACAACCAATGGTACCATTTTGGGGTGTTCGGTGCACCACCCATTGTAGAACCTATTTTAGCGGTTGGATTGGGATGTTCACTGGGGGTACGTTTCGGGGTTTGACCCACGGCCATATATAGGCTAATACAAGCCACACGCTGACCATTTTAGTGGCAAATAAAAAGTTTGGACTTTTTTTGGGCCATCCACTCAGCCAGTGAGAAAAAGGGTAGCCCAACAAGCGGTGGGTTTTCCTTGACAGTGGGTTCTCCTTTGGCGTTTGCCTTAAAAGAAGATCGGGGAGCCCAACAAAGGGTGATCTGCCTTCAGCCAACATTCGGGGAACCCAACAACGGGTGAAATACCTCCGGCACAAAAGCGGGACACCCAACAAAGGGTAACGCAACAAGCCAACGAGCCGAGGCGTTGCCAAGCAGCTGTTGCAGCCCAACTTGCCATCATCCTGGTCAGCGTGGCGCTGGCAGGGGCAACGGTTCCGGAAACACTCAAGTAAAGCCCTACAAAACAGAATTAGCTGACCTACCCAAACCAAAATAGATGAGGGTCAAGACTCACCCTACAAAATATAATTATTAGCTTGCAGGTCTCAAAGTCACCTCGAGATAGTTAAAACAAAAAGTGGACTTGACCTACTCGAACCAAAATAGTAGACCCAGTCACTCCGCGTCAAGATCGTGGCAAGTCTTGTCCGTTCCCTTCTATCTCAAATGGCGGCCCCCCTGCTTTGGATACCTTGGCAAACATGTGAAAGAACAAACAACAAGACGCTTGAAGAACGAGATGGGGTCCAGAGTTCAAACCGGAGCTGGGTCAACCCCTTGA